CCTCTGTCTAAAAATATTAGTCGTTTGATCAGGAAACTGAAACCATATATCGCTTGACTAAGATGACAGATCTTGCTCCATAAATAATGAACACTATATCCCCTTGGCCTATAAGATGCATAGCAGTGTAGAAGTAACCAATAAATGGATAATATGTCATTGAAACATTGGTGGATGGCTCATAGATCAATCTTGCAAAGGCATATATTTAAGTGTGTACTGTGATGATGTGGAACCACATGGAGTATTCACTTACAACTGGAGATTAACTGTAGAGTAAGGATTTATCTTGAGAAGGGTGTTAGCACGGCCACTGACTTCTACAGAAACTGAGAGTACTGTATAATGCCCCATTTTGAGATTATAATCTCAATATTTTAATGTAGGGCAGTGATTCTCAACCAGAGTACCATGGCACCCTGGGATGCATTGAAATCCCTTCAAGGCTGCTGTGGGATGTCACATAATGTTATCACTGTTAGGTGTACAAGCATGATTCAAAAGCTAAACCCAGAGATGTCACATAGGAATCCATAGAGTAAAACATGTTTTGACTGGTTGTGGCCTTTCTTAGTTCTTTGCTATAGAAGAATCAGTCTCTTATAATAAAAAAAGCAAGTGAAAAATAAAAGTAGGCATTTTCCAAGAGGCACCTTGTATCTAGAAAATGCTGGGAACCACTGATATATAGAGCTTTTTGTGGCAAAAGGCTAGCTTGGTATGCTGATGGCATACTTACATTCACAGGAACATTACTAATGGGGTGAGGAGAGAGTTCATGAAGTGCAGTTGAATATAGCTGTATTCAGGAATGGGTTGGGGGCTGGGGGGAGGGTGGTGCAGTGGTGTAGTTGCATCCTCCCACCCCTTTGATTTCTGCTCCACAAAGTTTAACACCTGTGGCTGCCTGGGAGGGGCAGCTATCCAGGTTGTAGCTGCATTGCTCTAGAGCGGGGGTTTTCAACCTTTTTTGGTTGGTGTACCCCCAGCGGCCAGTCCAAGAGTAGGGAGTCCCCCGGCAGCAGATCAACAAGTGGTGGGGGTGTCTCCTGTGGCAAACCTGAAGTGCCAACAGCAGATCCAGAAGCACTGCCGGCGAAACCAGAAGTGCCCCCTGCTTCTCTGTACTGCTGCCATGTACCCCCTGGGGGCTTCCCAAGTACCCCCAGGGGTACACGCACCCCCAGTTGGCAACCCCTGGTCTAGAGGCAAAAGGAATCAGAACTTGTGGTAGAAGTGATATTTTTTATTACACCAACTAGATGTTTGCAAAAAAAACAAGGCAGACACATTTGTGTTCAGATAGTGCTGAGAGAGAGTGTTAACTGATTCTATGGCTATCATCTACCTGATTCCTGCTAATCTCTCTCCATTCCACAGGTGTTAATGACCCCCTCTCCTTTTTGAGGATCTTGATGTTTCACTATTCAAACAATCTTTTCTTTTACAATCCTGCGACCCTCCTTTGGGTTGTGACTCAGGGTTGGGAACCCCTGATTTAAATGCTCGAGGTGGCTAGATTCTGTTTTATGACTGAATAAGAGCAGGACATTTAACTAGAATGAGAGCAGGACATTTAGCTAGAATGAGAGCAGGACTAAGGACACAATATTGGAGTCCTTGCATACTCATGGAACTATGACATGATTGGAATAACAGAGACTTGGTGGGAGCTTGCATGACTAGAGCATGCAACTGTCATGGATGGGTGGAAAGAAATCCAGGAGAGCTGGTTGTACTTTAAAGAAATCTTACTAAGGGCATAGGAACAAACTATCCTGATGTGCAGGAATACTAGCAAGTATGGCAGAAGATTAGCTTGGCTTAGCAGGGAACTCTTCAATGAGCTAAAACATAAAAAGGAAGCTTACCATAAGTGGAAACTTCGACAAACAACTGGAGAGGAGTATAAGAGTATTGCTAGGGCATGCAGGGATGAAATCAGGGAGGCCAAAGCGCAACTGGAGTTGCAGCTAGCAAGGGATGCAAAAGATATCAAGAAAGGTTTCTACAAGTATGTCAGCAACAAGAGGAAGGTCAGGGAAAGTGTAGGTCCTTTAGTAAATGGGAGAGGCAACCTAGTGACAGATGCTGCAGAAAAGGCAAAAGTGCTCAACACCTTTTTCACCTGTTTTCGCAGGCAGGGTCATCTCCCAGATTACTGAACCCAGCAGCACAGTTTGGGGAGGAGGTGAGCAGCCAACAATAGCAAAAGAACAGGTTATGGACTATTTGGAAAAGCTGGATGTGTACTAAACTATGGGGCCAGGTGTGATGAACACAAGGGTGCTGATGGAATTCACTGATGTGATGTGATTGCAGAACCACTGGCTATTATCTTTGAAAACTCATGGTGGTCTGGAAAGATCCTGGATGACTGGAAAAGGGCAAATATAGTGTCCATGTTAAGAAACAGAAGGGGATAGGATCCAGGGAACTACAGACCCATAAGCCTCACCTCAGAGCCTGGAAGAATGGATCAGGTTCTCAAGGAATCCACTTCTAAGTGCTTGAAGAAGAAGGTGATTAGGAACAGTCAGCATGGACTTATCAAGGGCAAGTCATGCCTGACCAACCCAATTGCCTTCTTTGATGAGATGACTGGCTTTGTGTATGCGGGGAGATCAGTAGATGTGGTATGCCTTGACTTTAGCAAGACTTTTGATACAGTCTCCCACAACAGTCTTGCAAGCCAAGTTGGATCAATGGACTGTAAGGTGGATAGAAAACTGGTTGGATCATCAGGCTCAAAGGGTAGTAGTCAATGCCTCAATGTCTAGTTGGCAGCTGGTATCAAGTAGAATGTCCCAGGACCTGCTTTATTCAGTATCTTCATTAACAATATGGAAGATGGGATGAAGTGAATCCTCAGCAAGTTTGTGGATGACACTTAGCTGGGGGGAGTAGTAGATACACTGGAGGATAGGGCTAGGATTCAGAGAGACCTGGCCAAGTTGGAGGATTTGACCAAAACAAATCTCTTGAAGTTCAGTAAGCAGAAGTGCTCAGTCCTGCACTTAGGACAGAACAATCACATGCACTGGAACAGGCTGAGGACCAACCGGCTAGGCAGAAGCTCTTCAGAAAAGGACCTGGGGGCTACTGTGGACAATAAGCTGAATATGAGCCAACAGAGTGCCGTTGTTGCCAAGAAGGCTAACAGCATACTGGGCTGCATTAGTAGGAGTGTTGCCAGCAAATTGAGGGAAGTGATTATTCCTCTCTATTCGGCACTACTGAGGCCACATCTGGAGTCCTGTTTTGCTTCCCCCACTACAGAAAGGATATGGACAAATTGGAGGGAGTCCAGCAGAGGGCAATGAAAATGGTTAGGAGGCTGGGGGATATGACTTTGGAGGTGAGGCTGAGGGAACTGGGCTTATGGAGGAGAAGACTGAGAGGGGATTTAATAGCAACCTTTGACTACCTGCAGGGTGGTTCCAAAGAGGATGGAGCTAGACTGTTCTCAGTGGTGGCAGATGACAGAACAAGGAGCAATAGTTTCAAGTTGGAGCAAGGGAAGTTTATGTTAGATATTAGGAAGAACTTTCTCACTAGGCAGGTAGTAAAACACTGGAGCAGGATACCTAGAGAGGTGGTGGAATTTCTATCCTTATAGGTTTTTAAGACCCAGCTGGACAAAGCCTTGGATGGGATGATCTAATTGGGGATGGTCCAGCTTTGAGCGGGGAGCTGGACTAGATCAGAGGCTCTCAATCTTTTGCACTTTAGGTCCCACGAACCGATTTGTCAAAAAACCCGGGTCCCACCAGGATAAAAACAAAATCCCATTGTTCAAGCTATCTGTTGATTCTATTTGAAGTGCAAACAACTTTGATTTTTTCAATCGGGCAATGAGTTGAAGTCCCACCAACATGACCTTCGAGGTTGAGAAACAATGGACGAGATGAACTCCTAAGGTCCCTTCAAATAGTAATTTTCTATGATTCTATGAATATCTCTTTGACTATTTTTTGGCTAGGTTGTGTTTGGGTTTTTTTTTAGTTTTATATACACTAGCACAATGGGGCTTATCTGTCTTCCCTCCCAGGCTGGGTGGGCAATGCCTGATCTGAGCACAGGCTGGATGCAGGGCCCAGGGCAGGCCAGGTGGGCACCATTCCTCTGTGCCCTGCATGAACGCTGCGTGCCCCTGGAGGCCGGGGGGCACAGAGACTGCCCGCAGGCGTCGGGGCGGTGTTGGCCGTGGCGGTGAGCAGGGAGCTCCTGCAGGTGTCGGTAGCGGGGAAGGGGGGTGGTGAGCACCGACTGGCAGTTGGCGACCACCCACAGACGCCGCCAGCGATGGCCAACAGCGATCAGGGACTGTGCACAGACAGTGTCGGCGGCAAGGGGGGGATAACGGTGACTGCCCGCAGCGCTTTTTGCAGGGGGTGCACCGCCAAGCTCAGGGGGTGCATGTGCTAGGTGTTGCCAACGGTGCCCGGGTTTCAGGCCAGTCCCTCAGAGGAAAGCTAGCCTCTCGAGGACGGGGGCACGGCCGCTCCCAGCCCACCTCTCAAGGTAGGCATGGCCGGGTCTCCCCCCGCCAAGGGGCCGGTCCAGACCC